AACCGTCAAAATATTAAATGGGGCCGGGTACAGTGCCTCATGCCTGTAATCCTAACACTCTGGGAGGCTGAGGCGGGTGAATTGCCTGAGCTCAGGAGTTTAAGACCAGCCTGAGCAAGAGCAAGACCCTGTCTCTACTAAAAATAGAAAAACCAGCTTGGTCTTGTGGTGGGCACCTATAGTCCCAGCTGCTTGAGAGGCTGCGGCAAGAGGATTGCTTGAGTCCAAGAGTTTGAAGTAACTGTGAGCTATGATGCTACAGCACTCTACCCGTGGAAACAAGAGTAAAACACTGTCTACCAAACTTTGTCAGAAGGCTGGGATTCTGGAGAACAGCAAGAGTAACTTCTCCGAGATTATTCTGTTCTTCCATTTCTAACTTTACAGTTTGTTGTTGTTCTTGTTTTTTGTTTTTTTTTAATAGAGACAGTTTCACTATATTGCCCTTAGTAGTGTGCAGTAATGTCACAGCTCACAGCAGCCTCCAATTCCTGGGCTTAGGCGATTCTCTTGCCTCAGTCTCCCAAGTAGCTGGGACTACAGGCGCCTACCATAATGCCTGGCTATTTTTTTGTTGCAGTTTGGCCAGGGCTGGGTTTGAACCCACTACCTTCAGTATATGGGGCCGGTACCCTGCCCACTGAGCCACAGGTGCTGCCCTGTTCTTGTTGTTTTTTGAGACAGAGTCTCACATTCTCATTTCTTGCCCTCAGTAGAGTGCCTTGGCATCACAGCTCACAGCAACCTCAAACTCCTGGGCTCAAGTGATCCTCTTGCTTCAGCCTCCCAAGTATCTGGGACTACAGGCAGCAGCCACAACTCCCAGCTATTTTTAGAGACAAGGACTGGCTCTGGCTCAGGCTATTCTTGAACCTGTAAGCTCAGGCAATTTACCCACTTCAGCGGCCCATGTGCTAGGATTATAGGTGTGAGGCACCACACCTGGCCCCTAACATTACAGTTTTATACATTTGAGTTCCAAGTAAAGACCATGTTTACCCTTATCTTAAATACTAATCCATGGTTCATAAACAATTAACAACATTCTAACTTAAAAGTTAATCTCCTAAATCAATCCATCCAAACTACTCAAGATAGGCATCTTTAGGGTGGGAACTAAATTTACAAAACAGTAAGAATGGGAGACAAAGGGTGAAGGTCAGACAGGACTCTAACAGATCGGACCAGCTGTGTCCTGTCCACCCTAGCCTGACAAACTCTATCTTATTCTCACTATATGTGCTTTTTTTTTTTTTTTCTTTGAGACAGACTCAAGCTGTTGCCCTGGGAAGAGTGCTCTGGCATCATAGCTCACAGCAACCTGATACTCAGGCTTGCCTCAGTTTTTCTATTTTTAGTAGAGATGGGGGTCTGACTTTTGCTCAGGCTGGTCTCAAACTCATGAGCTCAAGCAATCCACCCAACTCAGCCTCCCAGAGTGCTAGGATTACAGGTGTGACCCACCGTACCCAGCCTATATGTGCTTTCACTAGCACTCTGGCAGGCCAAGTGGGTGAATGCTTGAGTTGAGGAGTTTGAGACCAGCCTGCTCAAGAGTGAGGCCTCATCTCTAAAAACAAACAAACAAACAAACAAACAAAACAACTAGCTGGGCATTGTGTGCCTGTCGTCTTAGCTACTCAGAAGACTGATGCAAGAGGTCAATTGCTGAGCCCAAGAGTTTGAGGTTGCTGTGAGCTATGACACCAAGGCACACTCTACCCAAGGAGACATAGACTGTGTCTCAAAAAAAAAAAAAAAAAGGAAAAAGGAAAAAATATGCCACTCTGACCAGCCACCACCAGTGTGCCTCACTATCCATCTAGAACCAAGCTCTAAAGCCTTGGAAGGCCGGATGAGAGTTCTAGCTGACCCTGCACCTCCCCTGCAAGCCACTTACAGTGAGTCCTGGCTCTGCTTCCTCATCTGTAATAACAGGAGCACAGGGCACAGACTTCTAGGGAGCTTCAGAACATGAGTTAAGAGAGGAATATGAAGGAAGTGTTAGGATTCAAGGAGGACTTGGGGAAAATAAATTACTTTGAGGAATGCAGGAAAGTTCCTCTGACCTTGCATGTGAGTGGTGGGCTTCTGGCTTCTGTGAACCTCCCCCACCTCTCCAGCCTGCCCAGTCTCATGCAGTCCACCTCACTTCCTGTCCTGCCTGTTAGCTCATCAACCCTTTATCTCCAGTTCTCTTTTAAAGCCTATATCTTATCTCCATGTCTACACACACTTGCTAGCTGCGTGGTGAAGGGAGTAGGCTCTGCAAGCAGAAATGTTAAGTGGCAGAGCCCCTGCATCTTTCCAAAACTTAATTTCTCGTCTGTAAAACGTGGACAGTATGAATGTGCACCTTGTGGAATTGTGGTAGGATTTTAGGCCAGTGCTGTTTTTATCATGGTACCAACACATGTGGCTATTTACATTTAAATTAATGAATGTTAAAGTTTTAAAAACTCTGCTCCTCAGTTGCCCTCACCACATTTCAAGTGCTCACTAGCCACATGTGGCTGGGATGGCACAGAGAGAGAATACTTCCATCACTGAAGGAAATTCTATTGCGTGGTGCTGGTTTGGAAGCACTCAAGCCTGCACTGTGCATTGGCTCTGTGTAAAACTGGCCAGAAGTTGTAAACAAAGGGCAGAGACCGGGACTGCAAGGTCATGAAGTCCAGCAAAGTGTTGAGGGAGTCGCACTGGTTGAAGGCATTCTCTGGGATGTTGGTGGGCCAAGTTCAAAATGAGGTGTTCCAGTTTCTGCTGGAAGGCAGGTATATGAAAAATAATTCATTCTTCTGGTGGAAAAGGGACACCAAGCAGTGGGTGGGGTAGATAACAGTGAGAAGGGCTGGGCGGAGCCTGTACTTAGCAAGTAGGGTGCTGGCCCCATATACTGAGGGTGGCAGGTTCGAACCCGGCCCCTGCCAAACTGCAACAAAAAAATAGCTGGCGTTGTGATGGGTGCCCAAGAGCTGGAGATTGCTGTGAGCTGTGATGCCATAGCACTCTACCGAGGATGATAAAGTGAGACTCTGTCTCTAAAAAACAAAGAAAAAGCAGTGGGAAGGGGTTTCTAGCATCTAGAACTGCCAGCATTGAACTTTTCAAAGGTAATGTGGCCATGCGGGTTTAAAAACATGTTACGTTTTTTTTTTTTTTGAGACAGAGCCTTACTCTGTTGCCTTTAGTAAAGTGCCATGGCATTATAATTCACAGCAACTTTACACTCTTGGGCTTAAAAGATTCTCCTATCAGCCTCCCAAGTAGCTGGGACTATAAGCTCCTGCCACAATGCCTGGCTAGTTTTTCTATTTTTAGTAGAGATGGGGATCTCGCTCTTGCTCTGGCTGGTCTCCAATTCCTGAGTTTGGGCAATCCTCCTGCCTCAGCCTCCCAGAATGCTAGGATTACAGGCGTGAGCCACCATGCCTGGCCTGTTAGCGTCTTTTGTATATGCTCTGCTCATATTTTCTCTCTCCCTTCACCTCATTTTTTTCTTTTTACCAGAGAAGGAATTTTAGATCCCAACTCATGAGAACCACAAGGGATACATTTGTCTATCTGGCTCCTGTACAGAAAGGAGGAATCTGTGAGAAGTACAGTGACTTTTCTAAGGTCCCTCCATGATCCAGGGCAGAGTAGAACTTCTAGACACAGTGTCCCTGAAGCCAGAGCTTGGCACAGTGTTGCTGTCCCCTGAGAAATAAGGTGGTGTTTTCTGCATATCTAGCAAGCCCTGATTCATGCCTCAAGATCCTCCTTTAAGGGATGTCTGTTGACTCCCATGTTGACTGAGGCAGCGTGGTCGGCTCGTAGGTGCAGCTCCAGTGATGACCCCAGAGAGGGCAGGTCCTGGGGCTGCTCTGTTATTGTATTTGGGGTTGTTCCCAGCACAGCACTTGGCACCCAGGTGGTGCCCTGTAGGTGCTGGTTGAGCCAGGGAAAGAGGTGGTTCACATTGTTGATGTGTGAGTGTAAGAGTGCAGGTGTGTAAGTTATGTGGCTGGACCAGGGTGTCTGTAAACTTGAGGGCTCTTGACAAGCCAATTTTTTAGTGCCACGAACCCCTTGAGCAGCCTAATAAAGCTACGAGCCTGGGTGAAACCAGAGACCATTATCCTAAGCAAGGAATGGAATAGCAAACACCACAGGAACTCACCACATGGATTCCTGCTAAGAGTAGGTTTTTGTTTTGTTTTGTTTTGTTTTGAGATGGAGTCTCACTAAGTTGTCCAGGCAGCTCTAGAACTCCTGGGCTCAAGGGATCCTTCCCCCTTGGCCTTCCCAGTAGCTGAGTTTAGAGTTGCTCTCCAGCGCCAGCTTCAGAGTGGTTTTTAAGTACATTTCATTGAAGTACATATCTATGAAAAGTGCAGAAATCTAAAGTGTACTTGAGGGTATTTTCACGAATCCAACACACTTGTAGCTTAAGAAACTAACCATGACCAGCATCCCAGCAGGCTCCTGGCACTCTTCCAATTTGGTTTCCCAAGAGAAACCTCTTTTGGAAAAGTTTTCAAGTGCAAATTTTAAGGCTGAGAACATGAGTTTTAGAGGCTGAGTTTGGGGGAGGGGGGAATGTGATCGTGCAGGTGAAAGGTCGTAAGCTTGTGCGGAGCCATGGGATGTGCACGGGGTCTCCGTGAAGGTTGCCGAATGTGTGGGTTTCGGTATCAAGCTGCCGTGCTTTGTGTGGCAAAGAGGTTTGAGGGGCTATTTAGGGCACCCGAGCACAAGTTGAGGGGCGCTGTGCGGGGGCCGGGAGTCTGAGCGCGGTCCTCAAGCGCAGAATACCGAGGAGGGGGCTGCGCGTGGGCCTCGGGGGCGGGGCCTCGGCGGATTCGGAGGGGCGGGGCCTGCGGGCGCGCGCACGCAGCCGGCGCGCCCCCTCCCGGCCGCCATGTTGGCTGGTGTGTGGGTGTCAAACGGAGCCAGACGAGGCGGCGGTGGCGGGGGCCGCGGGCGGCGGCGGCGGCGGCGGCGGCAGCAGCGGCGGCTCAGCAGTCTCCGGTCGCTCTCGCCTCCCTTGCGCTACCGGCGGCCGCAGCCGCGCACTAACGCCGGCCTGGAGGAGCAGAGGTGAGTCAGGGCCCTCAGGGCTCGGGGAACGAAGCGGGGTCCCAGGGCGCGACCGCTCCCCCCTCCCTGGGGCGCAGACGCCCCCAGAACACAGGTTCTCCCCACGCCAGCAACCTCCACCCACGAGCATGCACCCCTGCTGCCCCAACTGGTCTCCATCCAGGCCCTGGGGGACCCTCTTCTTCCCAACCAGGCCCCGCCCCATGGGCTGGAGCATGGCCCCCTCCCCATCTGGATCCCTTTTTACGCTCTTAGGTCCTCTATTCTCCTGTAAGGAACAGCTTCGTTTTACGTCCTCGGAGTCTGGGACTCCATTGACTCTAACCTCAGATCCAGGAGACCCCTTTAGCTTGGAACAACCCCGCCCCCCTCCGCAAGCCGGGCGCCCCTGCTTGGAGCCCAGCCTGGTCTCCTTCCCGTTCCGGTGCAGAGCACTGCCCGGGCTCCCTCCAGGAATCGGTAGAGGGGTCCCCTTCTCTGTCCAGGATCTTAGCCCGTCCCCCCTCTCCTTGGTGCCATAGCAGGGCCCCCTTTCCCCTCCCCAGCCCCCACCCTCACAGAGCAGCGGGGACGGGGGCGGAAGAGCCAGGCTCCAGCTGCCTTTTGTTCCGCGTGGGATGGCAGAGCACCGGCCCGAGATCCTGTTCGGGGTTGGTGAATGGGTGCGTGGGGGCTCGCTTCTTCCGAGAGACCCTTCCTCTCTCTCCCCATGGGGCGGCTCCCTCAGAGCCTGGCGTGTTAGGAGAGGCTGGCCCTTCCTAGAGGAGTCGGTGCCAACAGGTTTTTGTTTGCGACCTGAAGTTGTCCCAGTGGCTTTGCTGGGGGCAGCTTGAGCTCCCTGGAAACCTGAGCAAGTGCCTATGAAAGCCCATTTCTCCCGCCCAGGACCTTCCTCTGGGCAGCTCCTTCGCTTTTGGGCTCCCCTGGGATGCATTTGAAGTATGTACTTGAAGATCGATTGAGCTTAACCGTCATTAGGGTTCACTTGGGGGAAACTGAGGCCCAGAAATGCAGTAATTTGCCCAAGGTCACACAGGAATATTGTGTCAGTGCCAGAACTGGAAACTCAGGCTCCAGGGCTCTCTCAGTGAAATTTAAGAGATGTATAGGATCCTTCTACATTTAACATTCATGTAAGAAAATAGGTGAAAAAAGATAAGTACAAGTTCTTCTTTTCAGCTCCAGAGAATACCCTGTGAAAAAAGGGATTGGAAAGGAGGCTAAAATGATTGAAAGAGGTGAATTTTAATTATCCACACTCTCCCTGAATACATGAAGATTTGGCAGAAAACACGTGCATCTGGTGGTTCTAGATCTGGAATGATAGGTGCTGACAAAATCTTAGACTGTACAGCAGTGATTGAGTTTGCACTGATAATTAAGTTTTCATCTGTATTTAAATGAACATCTGAAGGGACTGCAGTTAGTTTCTGAATCGTATTTCTTCCACTGCTTGTGTTGGAGGCAAGTGATTATGTTACGGAAACACATGTAGATCTTCCCATCTTTAATTATTAGTATTTTTACTTTTACATTTTTAAAGCTTTTTTGTTTCTCTAGGTTCAGAATTGGGCGAGTTCTTACCAGTCTCACTGGGCTATTCTTTTGTTAGCATTAAGAGTTTGGTAAAGTGTACACTTACTGTAAGGCAGGATTCAGGCTTGTCTTCCACAAGTCCCTTTACCAGGAGCAATTTTGGATTGTCCTGTGGGAGGTACTGATCTTCCTTGGTTTATGGGGGCTTTTTGCCTTTCTCTGAACCTTGAGCTGGACATATGGAGAACTCTGTGGAGCACTCTTCCAGCAAGTGTTGAGCCAAGCATTTGAAATGTGCAAAACTTTCAAGTGGTAATATCTATCATCGGGTGTGCAGTCTTAAAAAATGACCCAGCATCTATAGAAATTCTCTGTAGAAGTACACTTGCTCTTACATAATCTTCTTCCACAGTGAGTTGTGGATTGCCTAAGAGTTGGGATTCTGATAAGAATCCTACAAAATCAGTTGCAGAGTCTTTGGGACTTTGATTTATTTTAATGGTTTGGCTTTTCCTGAACTTAAAAGAAGGGCAGTTAAAAAAAATTGTTAGGAAGAGTAACAACTTTCAGTTCTTTGTGGACTAAAGTGCTAAGAGATTTTCATGCATGGAATTGTCATGGTCATTCTTTTGGGAAATGCACTGAAGTTTCCTAAGCTTTCTGGCAGTTGTTCTCATTGCTCCCTAGAACCTTCCTGTCATGTTGATAAGGTGTGACTGACCATGGTTGTTGTCGTTTTATGGCCTATGTACCTGGTGATGCTAAGCCTTGAAGAAGTCAAAGGGCTTGGATTTGGAGAACTTGAGGTTGGGGAGCATGTGAAGAATTACCTAGTTCTGCTCCACACTGTTGGTCTGCTGGACTTTTTATTCCTTTTTTTAATAAACAGAGTTTGACTTATTAACTCTCGGTAGATGCCGTGAAGTCACAGCTCACAGCAACCTCCAAATCCTTGGGTTTAGGTGATTCTGTTGCCTCAGTCTCCCAAGTAGCTGAGACTACAGACGCCTGCTACAATGCCCGGCTATTTTTTGTTGCGGTTAGGCTGGAGCTGGGTTTGAACCCATCACCCTCCGTATATGGGGCTGGTGCCCTACTCACTGAGCCACAGGTGCTGCCCTGCAGTCCCTGTGGTCCTTTTTTTTTT